CATTTTTCTTTCTTTTTTATTTTACACATTTTTCTTTCTTTTGCATTCTTTTTTCTTTTACATTCTTTCTTTCTTTTTTTCCAGCGTTTTTTCTTATTTTCTTTTTCTTTCACTTTTTCTTTTCCTTTTTCGTTTCCATTTTCCTTCATTTACATTATTTTTCTTTCGATTTTTTTTACATTCTTTACTTTCTTTTTATTTTACATTAATTTTTCTTTCTTTCTTTTTTATTTTACATACTTTTTCTTTTCTTTTTTATTTACATTTTTATTTTACATTCTTTGTATTTTACAATCTTTTTCTTTCTTTTCTTTTAAATTATTTAACTTTCCTTCTTTTTCTTTTACATTCATTCTTTCTTTTTATTTTACATTAATTTTTCTTTTCTTGTTTTACAGTTTTCCTTTCTTTCTTTTTTATTTATATTTTTCGTTTTATTTTACATTCTTTTTCATTCTTTTATTTTAGATTCCTTTTTCTTTCTTTTCTTTTAAATAATTTTACTTTCCTTCTTTTTCTTTTATATTCTTTTCTTTCTTTTTATTTTACATTAATTTTTCTTCTTTTTTTGTTTTACATTCTTTCTTTTTTATTTACATTGTTCTTTTGATTTTACAATCTTTTTCATTCTTTTTATTTTAGATTCTTTTTCTTTTATTTAATATTATTTTCCTTTCCTTCTTTTTCTTTTACGTTCTTTTCTTTCTTTTTATTTTGTATTAATTTTACTTTCTTTATTTTTGTTTTACATTCTTTTTTCTTTATTTTTTGTTAAATTCTTTTCCTTTCCTTCTTTTTCTTTTACATTTTTCTTTCTTTTTTATTTTGCGCTATTTCTTTCTTTTAAATTCTTTTTAATTTTTACATTTACATTCTTTTTTCTTACGTTCTTTTTCTTTTACATTTTTCTTTCTTTCTTTTTAATTAATTTTTCTTTCTTTCTTCTTTGCTGTACATTCTTTTGTATTTCTTTTTCTTTCGATTCTGTTCTCTTTCTTTTTATTTTAAATTCTTTTTTATTTTATTCTTTTTCTTTTACATTCGTTTTTTTTTTTCGTTTTTTTACACTCATTTCTTTTTCTTTATCTTTTTTCTTTTCCATTCGTTCTTTTCTTTCTTTATATTTTACATTTTTATGGTATTTTTCCTTTTATATTATTTTTCTTTCATTAGTTTTTTCTTCTTTATTTTACTGTATATTGTTTTGTCTTTATTTTTATTTCACATTCTTTTTAATTTTATATTCTTTTTCTTTCCTTTTCTTTTACATCTTTTCCTTGTTTCTTTTAGATTCGTTCTTCTTTTTATCTTTCTTTTCTTTTTTATCTTTTCTTTTTTTACATTTCTTTTTCTCTTTTACATTATTATTTCGTGTTTTCTTTTTTCTTTTACACTATTCTTATATTTTTTAAATTATTTTACTCTTTTACTTTCTTTATTTTTCTTTCTTTTTATATATCTTCCTGTTTACCTCTTTTCTTTTTTCTTTCTTCCATAAATGTCTTTTACTTTTTACTTTTTCGAATATATATTTTTAATTATATTTTTCTTTCAATCTTTATTTCACTTTTTTTATTTCTTTAATTTATTTTTATTGCTTTGTTTCTCATTCTTTCAAATTCATTCATTTTACATTTATTTATTCTTCTTTTATTTTTTTATATTTTTGTATTTCTCTATATTTCTGAGATGAGGTATTATGTACATTATTTACATTATTCGGACTATTGTCCTCATCTATGTAGCCATATTTATCACAACGTTTCGGCCTTTCAGTATCTGTCTATATTTCTGAGATGAGGTATTATGTACATTATTTACATTATTCGGACTATTGTCCTCATCTATGTAGCCATATTTATTACAACGTTTCGGCCTTTCAGTATCTGTCTATATTTCTGAGATGAGGTATTATGTACATTATTTACATTATTCGGACTATTGTCCTCATCTATGTAGCCATATTTATTACAACGTTTCGGCCTTTCAGTAACTGTCTATATTTCTGAGATGAGGTATTATGTACATTATTTACATTATTCGGACTATTGTCCTCATCTATGTAGCCATATTTATCACAACGTTTCGGCCTTTCAGTATCTGTCTATATTTCTGAGATGAGGTATTATGTACATTATTTACATTATTCGGACTATTGTCCTCATCTATGTAGCCATATTTATTACAACGTTTCGGCCTTTCAGTATCTGTCTATATTTCTGAGATGAGGTATTATGTACATTATTTACATTATTCGGACTATTGTCCTCATCTATGTAGCCATATTTATTACAACGTTTCGGCCTTTCAGTATCTGTCTATATTTCTGAGATGAGGTATTATGTACATTATTTACATTATTCGGACTATTGTCCTCATCTATGTAGCCATATTTATTACAACGTTTCGGCCTTTCAGTACCTGTCTATATTTCTGAGATGAGGTATTATGTACATTATTTACATTATTCGGACTATTGTCCTCATCTATGTAGCCATAT